CGCTTGATGGAAATGTTTTTCATTGAACCTGCATTGTTTTGGCCTTTTCCTTGAACAACGCCTTGATCAAAAGAGCTGAATTTTTTCATCTAAGGGGATTAATACATTAGGAAGCAGGTAATTTGATGTGAAGCATTCAAATTTCTTGATCTACTGTGAGTTTTACTATAAAGGTAAATTTTACTTAAAGCAATGTCTCCAAAGGAATGCACCATTAGCAAAACAACTCTAATTAAACAAAACTTTTCTACATTCAGATTCTAATCATATTTCTAAAATAAAAGTAAAGGTTCGTACGAATAAAGATGATATATGTACCGTAATATGCAACATAGTTATACAGTTTTGACCTAAAATAAATTACTCAAAGTGAGTAAAGCTGCATATGATTCTTCCCCATATAAATACTTTACTTTTCATTTATTTTCCCTTTATTATTTAACTATATTGTATAGTTAAAATAAGGCGGTAGTACATTTTTTCTGAGCTCTAATAAAAAAATAGTAAGTCAATATTCTCTATATTATGATTATCAAAAAATGGAAGTAAGAAAATGGAGATGGAAGTATAATACAAGTCAATAATACCTATTATATTGTAATTAAAAAAATGCAAGTAGAATAAAAAAAGGAAATGGACAAACGTAATACGTCTTCAGCAAGTTTTTTTTATATGTCCCACTCACTTGTTTTTTCCCTAAAACATAAAAAAAAATGGTAAATTCGAATCCTTTTTCCCTCTTGTCGACATCACATTCGTAACCACAAAGAGAAATAAGGAAAAAAGAAATTTAAAGAATATTCGGAGAATAAATATTGCCGTGAAACAATTGGCCCATTTAGTAGTTTGGTGGGCCATACACAAAAAATTGCCCTCTTTTTAAGACCCGCCTCTTCCTTCTCACCAAACCTTCACTTCGCCTTCACTTTTCTCAGATCTGTTTCTTTGACGTTTTTTTTTTTTCTTGTTCGATTGCATCTCAAAATCCAGCTATGGCTACTCCCTCTGCTTGGAAACTCGATGACCATCCTAAGCTCCCTAAAGGCAAAACCATCGCCTTAATCGTCTTAGATGGTTGGGGTGAATCTGCTCCTGATCAGTACAACTGTATCCACAACGCTCCTACTCCTGCCATGGATTCTCTCAAAAACGTATGCATACACTTACCTTATGATTCGCTTTCTTCCTTCATGGATTCATTCATCGAACTTACTTTTTCCTGTTTGTCTTCACTTCACAGGGAGCTCCTGATACTTGGACTTTAATCAAAGCTCATGGTACTGCTGTTGGATTACCAAGTGAAGACGATATGGGAAACAGTGAGGTTGGTCATAATGCTCTTGGTGCTGGTCGTATTTACGCTCAAGGTGCTAAGCTTTGTGACATCGCTCTTGCTTCTGGAAAAATCTTTGAAGGTGAAGGTTTCAAATACGTTTCTGAATCTTTCGACAAGAATACTTTGCACTTCGTTGGACTTTTAAGTGACGGTGGAGTCCACTCTCGTCTTGATCAGCTACTGGTATTGACTTGATCTGTTTTTATTCATCCTTCGAGTTCTTAATTTTGTGTTTGTTGTTGATTCCTTAAACTTTGTTGTTTATGTTTGCGTAGTTGTTGGTTAAAGGTTCTGCTGAACGTGGTGCTAAGAGAATCCGTGTCCATATTCTTACTGATGGTCGTGATGTTTTGGATGGTTCAAGTGTCGGATTTGTGGAAACCCTTGAAGCCGACCTAGCTAAACATCGTGAGAATGGTATTGATGCTCAGATTGCATCTGGTGGTGGTCGTATGTATGTGACTTTGGACAGGTATGAGAATGATTGGGAAGTTGTGAAACGTGGTTGGGATGCTCAAGTTCTTGGTGAAGCTCCACACAAATTCAAAAACGCTGTTGAAGCTGTGAAGACATTGAGGAAAGAACCTGGTGCAAATGATCAGTATTTGCCTCCGTTTGTGATTGTTGATGATGCAGGGAAAGCGGTTGGTCCCATTGTGGACGGTGATGCTGTTGTCACCTTCAATTTCAGGGCTGATCGTATGGTTATGCATGCTAAGGCACTTGAATATGAAGATTTTGACAAATTTGATCGTGTTAGGTTCCCAAAGATCCGTTATGCTGGTATGCTTCAGTATGATGGAGAGCTAAAGCTGCCTAACCGTTACCTTGTTTCTCCCCCGGAGATCGATAGAACCTCTGGTGAATATTTGGTCCACAATGGTGTCCGTACTTTTGCTTGCAGGTTCTTAAACTTCTGTCTTTTTCTCTATTCCATTTGAGTATTGGCTATATATGCTTTTCTTAGTGTATCTCCAGTTACTTGCTTATTAGTGGTCTATGTCTATACCTTGAACTGATCATACGTATCAATTTTTGTGACTGAAACAGTGAGACTGTCAAGTTTGGGCATGTCACATTCTTCTGGAATGGAAACCGATCTGGATATTTCAACGAGAAATTGGAGGAGTATGTTGAAATCCCAAGTGACAGTGGAATATCATTCAATGTCCAGCCAAAGATGAAAGCTTTGGAAATTGGTGAGAAGGCGAGGGACGCAATCCTTAGTGGCAAGTTTGATCAGGTGAGGTTTATGAATGGTCTTATGATCTTATAATATCGAACTTCCCAGGAAATAAGCTGAGATCATCTTATATTCTCGATATTGATTTCCAGGTGCGAGTTAACATCCCCAATGGAGATATGGTGGGTCATACAGGTGATATTGAAGCCACGGTTGTTGCATGCGAGGCTGCTGATCTTGCTGTGAAGGTAATGTTCTATTCTAATTTTTTTATTTGACAAGTCGTAATAATATGAGTGGGTGACTCAGTCGACAAGCGGTGTTTGCCTGGTTTGGTTATGTTTGCAGATGATCTTTGATGCAATTGAACAAGTGAAAGGCATTTACGTCGTGACTGCTGATCACGGGAACGCAGAGGACATGGTTAAGAGAGATAAATCTGGGAAGCCTGCTTTGGATAAGGAAGGAAAGCTTCAGATTCTTACCTCTCACACACTCAAGCCAGTAAGTCCATATCTATCATCTGTCTGATTACCATAAACATTAAAACATTTGAACTAGTTTTGATGTGAAATTGTTGATATTGATTGGAATGTGTTGTAGGTGCCAATTGCCATTGGAGGTCCTGGATTGTCACAAGGAGTGAGATTCCGTAAGGATCTGGAAACACCGGGACTTGCGAATGTAGCTGCAACGGTGATGAACCTCCATGGATTCGTGGCTCCAGCTGACTATGAGCCAACCCTAATTGAAGTAGCGGAGAATTGAGAGCCTGATCAGTTTTGAAGAGAGGGCTGAAACTCTCTGATTTATGTTATGTTGCTTTCTAATAATAAAAGGGTTTTACACAAACTTTGTATTTTTGATTTTGGTTAAAATGATAATTCAAGCTTTTTCCTTGTCTTTCACATATTGAAGCTTTTTCCTTCTCTTCCAGAGGAAACAGATACCGAGTCAAAGATTGTTTTGGGTTCTCTTAATTAAATATGTTTGTATGTTAAAACTTCTTATGCACATTACACATGTTTTTTTTTACATAAATATGTATGCATCAAAATGCTTCTATGAATAAAACTTGACCGGTCTCGTGTGTCTAATATACACAAGAATTGTGCATATAAATATCATCAACGGATTAGGTGATTGCGCGGGTTTATGTTAACAAAGTTTATTTTATAACTAAATTATTGTAGTTGGTGACCCAAAAAAAAAAAACTAAGTTATTGTAGTTTTAAATGTTTTGATTACATATCACCTCAACAAAATTTAAAAACCCGGTTGAGTTATAGACTTGTGCCTTACTCCCAAAAATGGTGTACAAGAGGATAACAATAATGGTAGTAAAAAAATTAAGAAACTAAAGAATGTTTACTGTTTAGAGCTAGCAGTTTGAGATAAAATTGACAATTTAAAGGTTAATAATAAAAAGAGAACATACTTGATAGTTAGCACATGTCAAAATTAATACAAATATCAGAGCACCAAGTAAGTGACCATGAATCTAGCCGAAGCATACATATACATAGTTACATACCATCATTAATTAGAATAACATATATAATTCCTCGATGAGCATATTGCATCGTGTCAGAAAAAATATTGTTTCGGCCAACTTTGAGCTGCAAGTAGCCTCTATGCGAGAAGGTTGGTTGATGCTACTTTGCTATTTAAAATCAAATCATAAATGTTCATATCCTCTTCTCTCTTGGCTCATACTCTTATTCATGATCTTCTCCAAACGCTTTTAGAGAAAATAGAAAAGGAAAAGTCCAAGAGAAATTAAGTTGCCATCAAGACCAATATTTTGAATTATACAATAAGTATTAAGATTTATCTCATCCCCTACCACTTTCGCTGGAAGATCGCAGATCCTCTTCATCCTTCTTCCACAGGCAAACGAAATACTTAGGGCTTTCTCTCTTTTTATACTTAAAAACGAAATTGGGAATATATTTGACCTCAATAGAGTAGAGGCGCGGCTAATAATAGGTCAATGACTCCCAAATGCGTTGGACCCGAGAAAAAATTGCTTGGGTCTACTTCATAAGAGCCCATGTGACGATTTAGTGGCCATTGCTTCTT